GTGGAAATTGGGAAAAATACCACTGGCACAAAGAAGGTGGTTGTGGCTGTTGAAGGCCAATCATCTCAGGTCCAGTTTGCCTCTGCAGAAGTTCCTCAGGGTAATGTCCTAAGCTCAACCATCTTCAGCTGCTTCATCAATGACTTTCTCTCCATCATAAGATCAGAAGTGGGAATATTTGCTGATGATTGTACAGTGTTCAGCAGTATTTTGCAACTCCTCAGATACTGAAGCAGTCTGTTCCAAATGTAGCAAGATCTGCACAATACCCAGGCTTATGTTGAAAAGTGCAAGTAACATTTGTATCACACAAATGCCAGACAATGAATATTTGCAAATAGAGAGAGAAAGCAATAGCACAATTATCATTGAATCTCATAATATCAACATCACTCAAGTTACCATTGACCAGAAATACAACTTGACTTGGCATATTTTATATATTTATTTATATATATATACACATACACACACATTTACACAGTCGGAGGCTGCATTTCTTGCAGTGAAAAGCTCGCCTTCCGACTCCCCACAATATGTCAATCATCTACAAGGCGTAAGTCAGGAGTATGATGGAATACTCCCCAGTTGCAGTTCCAACAACACTCGAAGCTTGACATCATCCAGGCCAAAGCAGCCAGCTTGATTGGCACCACATCCACAAACATTCACTCCTTCCACCATCGACGCTCAGTAGAGAGTTCATGACTAACTACTGAGAGTTAGTGGTGGAAGGAATAAATGTTTGTGGATGTGGTGCCAATCAGTTGGGTTGCATTTGTCCTCGATGGAATCAACCTTCCTGAGTGTTGTTGGATCTACACTCAGTAGCAGTAGCAGTCCCATGAAGTGAATAAAAATAAAACAGCAGACCACACTTGCCATACATATTGCTTACTTGCTGCATGCTGACAACTGTAGCCATACTGGTAACTGAACCTAAATAAAAACCAAAAGAACTGTGGATGTTGTAAATCAGGAACAAAAACAAAGTTGCTGGAAAAGCTCAGCAGGTCTGGCAGCATCTGTAGAGGAGAAAACAGAGTTAATGTTTCGGGTCCGGTGACCCTTCCTCAGTTGTTGGTAACTGAACCTCATGCTTGCAAATGTTGTTGTCCAAATAATGTTTTTTTGCTACCCTTTAGCAGTATGCCAGTATGCCTTCATTTAAAAGCCGACATTCAGATTGCACTTCTGTGGCTTTCCAATTCACGCGAGGAAATTTGGTACTCATCATCATGTTCCCTGAGTTTTTCAATTGTGTCAGTGATTTACAGTAGCAAGACTTTCAGGCTACTATGTGTGTGGAGATTCTGTATTATAGCTGCACTGCTTTTATTTTCCCTTATCATTTATTCTCTTCATGCTGTTTTCAGTTGTGGCTGAGATTTTTGTTTTGTTAAAATGCATTTCCTTTTGACTGGGAGTGGCACCCACGGTCGGCTCAATGGCCTTGCAACTTCTAAAGAACCAGTACTCTTTTACTGGACTTGTAAGCAGGATAGATTCAAAATATTTGAATATATCATCATATTGTGATAACACACTGCTGTTAGGTGGAAAGTTCGATGATGTTGTACTAGCAACAGTGAAGTACGAGCAATGTTGTTTCACATTAGGATGTTGTGAGTCTTGGAGGGGAATTTGTAGGCAGTGGTGCTGCCACAAATCCGTTCCCCTTGTCCTTCAAGATGTGGTGTTCATTGTTTTGGGAGGAGTTGTTGAAAGAGTCCTGGTGTGTTACTGCAGTGCACTTGATCATGGCACACACTATTGTCATTGTGTGCCAGTGATGGAGGGTGGTGGATGGGGTTCAATGTGGGCTGCTTTACCCACTTGATATTGTCAAGTAGTTTCAGTGTTATTGGTGCTGTATCCAACCAAAGAAGGAAGGAGAATTGCATTGACTTATAATCAATGCTTGACAGGCTTTGGAGAATCATGCAGGTGAGCTACTCATCTTAGAATTTCCAGCCTCTGACCCCTTGTATTTCATACCTGGACTGGTCTACCACCACCAAACCACACCCCCACCCCCGACACCATTATGGAGGATGAATGTGCCTCCTTTTCAGTTGTGTAATTGTCCACCATCATTCATGCCTGGATATGGTCAGTATATGGATCCTACCCTCTGTTATGTGATCATTAAATTCTGTCTGGAGAATGCCACTTCTGTTGTATGGTATTCATACCATTGTAAGTTGTAGTTTCACTGGTTCACACATCATTTTTCCGTAGGCTTGGTGTGTCTCCTGGGAGCTGTCCAATACTTATTGAACCAGAATTAATTACCTGACTTGATGAGGGTATTGTGAGAGATGTGCCAAGCCGCAAGATTACAGCTTGTGTTTAAACACGAATTCTATGAGCAACAACTTGTCTGTGATTAAATTCAATGATTGTGAGGACAATGAGCCATGGATGGTCAGTTTTGAGCTTGTAGATCTGTCCCGAATCTGTCCCATGTAACACCGTGGTAGTTCCACATGGTATAAAAAGATTATCTCAGTGGGAGGACGAGCTTCATTTCTAAAAGGACTACTCGGTAATTATTGCTACCAATACTGTGGTAGACAGATTTGCAAGGTCAAGGTGTAGCACATTTCTCTTCTGAATTGGTACCCTCATCACTTGTACACACCCAGTCTATGTCCTTGTAGCTTCAGCCAACTTGGTACTGAAACATTCTAGATGATGAACATTGAAGTCTCCCACCTAGAGTACAATTTGAGACTTTGTTATTCTCGGTACTTCATCAGTGTGCTGTTCAACTTGGAGGATCTCTGATTCACCAACTGTGAGAAGACGATAGGTGTTAATTTTGAGGAAGATTCATTATCTATGTTAGGCTTGATTTGTGGAGTTTCTAGTCAATGTTGAGAACTAACTGGAGCACTCTCTCCTGACTGTTGGTTTATCAATGTGTCACCACTTTTGGGTCTGCCACTTGTTCAGGAATGGTTCCTTAACTATTGTAATTCATTCAGTCTGGTAGAAAACCTTCCAATTTGGAATCAAAGTCTGTAATTCAGAAATATCATTTAGCACAAATCTGATTGATCATTATTATAAAGAAATCAAAAGAAATATAGGCTTTTTGGCCACTGTCAAATTAAGGCTTACCTTTGTGGCCACGTTTTTTATTTCAGTGGCTCCTGTAGGTTCTTGCTGTAGTAGGCTAATGAAAATTGTGCATAGTTCTTCAAGTGTGGCCTTCTCCTCATCACCACCCCTGATTTGAGATCAGTTCTTCTGTTTTTTTTTCCTGTTAGGTTTATAGTAGGCTTGGAGGGAAGTGTGATGGGTTGCTTAATGGTCCAGCAGTGGTATTTTTTCTTTTATTCATTCATAGGACGAAGGTAATGGTTGAAGATTTGTAGCTTGGGTTGTGGATGAGGTTGTTGGCTTGCTCACCGAGCTGGCTGGTTATCGTACATCATCAGTGCAGCCTCTGATGAAGCGATGTTGTTCTACTCCGCTTGATATTTATATGATCTGGTCTGTTAAGTTGGGTTGTGTCACTTCTGGTTCTGTTCTGCATGGGTTTGTGTACGGAGTCTAATTCCACATGTTTGTCAATTGCATTACGGGTCATAAACCAGGCCTCTAGGGTATCAGTGGCTGGACCAGCGTTATTGTCCATCCCTAATTGCCCAGAGGACAGTTAAGAGTCAACCACATTGCTGTCAGTTAGGAGTCACACGTTAGCCAGACCAGGTGAGGATGGCAGTTTCCTTCCCTCCATTAGTGAACCAGATGGGTTTTTTCCAACATTCGGCAACAGCTTCATGGTCATCATTGGATTCTTAATTGAAGATTTTTGTTGAGTTCAAATTTTACCATCTGCCGTGGTGGGATTCAAACCAGGGTTCCCAGAACATTACCTGGATCTCTGAATTAAAAGTCTAACGACAATACCACTAGGCCATGACTACCTACCCAGAGGGAAGTAGCAATGGCATGAAACATGGTAATGCTATTGTCGCAGGTGATAAAAGTGGATAAAAGTTCCTTATTTCATCCTGCATCAGTGGCAGGATTGACAAATACCCTGTTGGAAGCAAGAGTAAGGAAAAGAAGATCTCTTAATAATCATATAAATAACTCGGATACTCTCCTTGGAGAGTGTGGGCCTGGGTGGTGCTAAAAGGATTAGAACGGAGTACATCTATCGGAAGCTATGATAAACAAAGCCATGGTAAATATTGAAAAACAGACCGAATCTCTGGTTATCGGTGATTAATGGCTCAGGAGCTTGAGTGGAACAAAAATTGTCCAAGTCAATATTCCACTTCATCTTGGGTCAGTGGTTTCAGAACCAGTCATATCAGGGCTGATTTTAATCACTTCTTGTAAAAGAATTGCCACAAATAAGTTGTTGACATCAAGTAGCAATAGAGGTGTGTATTTGGATTCAACAATTGTGATTGTTGGGCCAATTTACCCCATGTCATGATCATTTGGCAAATGTCCAGGATGAGTTGATGGGATCATCTCAAGTGTTCTACCAATGAGAAGATTGGACACTTTGTTGGAGCTACAAAGAAGGCTGCTCTTGGCTTATTTCTTTTATACTTAATTACCTATTCATCCCTTTTTAAATGTTTAGTAACTCTAGTATCCTTCTGTTTTTCCTTTTCTCAATTACTGTTAATTTTTAAAATAAGTTTTGATTAACCAGTAGGGAGCCAATTAATTCTTGGAAAACTGGCTTGGAGCAGCAATGGCTGTCTGTGATAACAGGCTGAAATTTATTTAAATTGAATTGAGTTTAAAATTTGCAAAAACACCCTGGGTGTTTGTGTTGATGTTAATTTGTACCTTCAAATCTCAAGAAATAGGTGAAGTTTCGACACATCAGTAGCCAAGCTTTCTGCTTCTCTGCTCCTGCCTCAACAGATGTTTAGCATGGCCCATTATGTTCTTGTCTATATGTTGTAAAATAAATGTATAATGCTGAGCTCTGAAATTTACCCATATTGTTGCTTTGTCTCCAGGCACCTCTGTGATGCAGGTGACTGCTTCAGATGCAGATGATCCAACGTATGGCAGCAGTGCAAGATTATTGTACACCCTGGTGGAGGAACAGGACCAGTTCACAGTGGACCTCAAGACTGGTAGGTAGGAGCTGAACCTTGTCCTGAATACAGTTTTCCTTATAGGAAGAAAATACCAAAATATGCATCTGGCAGACATGAGCAAGCACAACTATGCTCCCTTGACCTCAGGAACATCTTATTTTCTTGTCACCACAGTCTGTTATAAAAAGCCAAAGGCATGTTTCAATCTCCACGCATCACATTTGTCAGAGTATTGACATAATTACACGTTAGGTAATAACATTTTTCCAGCGCTAATCCAGTGTATCTTCAATACTTTATTCTTTTTGATTATATCCATCATTCATTCCTCTTGTATTTCACTCTAGCTTCTATTAATCTTTCTTATCCTTTATTCTCACTTCCTTAAACACTTTTTTTTGTTTCTACTTCGTTTTCAATTCTCAATAATTTTCCTTTTAAACTAGATTTCTCTTGTCTGCTCGTTCTTCTTACTGCTCTGTGTCTCTACCATCTCTCACTCTTCCTTTCCCTTCATTCTCTGGCACTCTCTCTTCTTTCAACCCACTTTGCTTTTCCTTTTCTTTCACCCAACTGTTCTTTTCTTCTTCACCCGTAACCTGTCTCCCTCTTTTCTGACCTATCTTTCTTTTCTTCACTTCTTTCTGTCACTCTCTCTTTCCTTGCCCTTGTTCTCTCTACCTCGTTTCCCTGAGAATGGTGGAATGATACAAGTAGCAATCAGACTCTTTCTATAAAATAATTGATTAGCCTGTTTCCTTTCATACGTCACATTAATGAAGCACATGACCTCATTAACAACTAAAATCAATCAAGTGTAATGTTTGCCTCCAGATTTTAAATGCTACCTGTCACTAATGCTGCCATGTCCAAATTTATTTCAACAGAGCAGCCATTTTGTTTACAGAAATTTAGGGTTGATTTCCTTGTGCTCAGATGTGGTGAACTCAAATCACATTCAAAAGAATTGAAAGAATATTCATTTCCCAATGTTATTCAGGACTAATGGATTCACATATGTATTTCATAATTTTGATTTTTTTAATCAAGCTCATCTACTGTATTTATTCATTCAATATAAGACTGACTAAGCTTAAACCATTTTACCTTAAATTGCTGATGAGTTGTAAGCATTTACTCTTTCCCCTGAGTACAAATCTTCACCACGGTGTATTTGATTATTACTTTATAGTATTCGATAGTGACCCTTTTAATAACAGTAACGATTGACCTGATTCTTAAATATGGAAGATTATCTGACATCATTCATAAGGATAGGATATCATTCATTCCGATTGGAAAATATCACTGAGCTTGCTGCATGTCATCACTAAATATGAACCCCATTCGAAATATTTCAATACATTTAACATCTGGCATTTACCATTGCCGACATAAAATGACAATTTTAACAAACAAATATTGGACCAACTATCCATTGTTGAAGCATTGCCCGGTTTCTAGACATCTGGGGTTGATGGACAAGACAGATAAAGCGATTTGACTTCCTACCTCAGCATTAGCCCCCACTTGGCTACTAGTTAATCCAACAACAATACAACAGCTCCAGTCTTGGCTCTAAAGATCCAGACTAAACAAGGAAGAAAACAGTTGGCCTGGGCTGGAGTTCTACCTTAGGGATCCTTCAATGGTTGATTGCTGGTTAGTAACAGTGTTAACAGTGAGTTATGGAGAGCCCTGAAAATCGAATGCAATGGTTTAATGCAAAATTAACATGCTTTGATGTTATATTGTCTTAGTCTGCATCTGTCAGTAATTTATCTCCTGCATTTTATATACAGAGGCCATATATATTTTCAGCTGTTTCAGCTTCAGGCTTTGGAATTCCCCCACCCAAGCCTTTAGGTCTCTCTCCCTTCAACAACAACAGCCTGTAATATGGCAATTTCAATATGAGAAAAAGTTCCACCCTGCAGGACAACCATTAAATGGATCTCCTTCATCAAGCTTATAACTATCTCTCCTCATATCCCTTTCTCTAGTCTATTTTTTTTAGTTGTTGAAAATAAGTTTTTCCATGTTAAATACACTATACAAATCATTCTTTGTAAAATGTCTGCATAGGGTAATACTGAAGAATAGTTGCTGTTTGATATGATTTCTAGCCCATGGTCTGTAGCGCGATGTTCCATCAAAGTTCAAAAGAGATCATGAATATCTTTAAGAAACACAGAATTCAGTCAATACTGTAACTCTGAAATAAAACCAAAAAGTGCTGGAAGTAACCAGCAGATCAGGCAAGACCTGTGGACAGAGAAATAGAGTTAATGTTTCAGTTGATACCTTCCATTGACAGAAACACTGTTTCTCTCTCTACAGTGCTGCTGACCTGCTGAGTCTTTCCAACATTTTCTGTGTTTAATCCACATCTTCGTTTGAAGACTGAGTTTTGCAAGGTTCATGATCATCTTTTGATTTTGTGAAATGTGCAGGTGTGGTTCAGTGAAATTGCAGTACAGTATAACGTAGAAAGATAAATACCTCAACAAATGTTAGGCTGAATCAAAATCTAAATGAACCTAAATTTGCAAGTCCCAGAAGGCCAAAAATAAAAGAAATGATCCAAATTAGCACCTACTCTGTTAACACTGTTCTTCAATGAGGTGTGAAATCTATGGTTTCACAACAGTAATGTGCTAAACGGCACTAATTACGCTTTATTCCTGAAAATTGAGTTGCATTTCACATCATAAAAAAGGCAGCATCCAATTATTTGCATGAAGCAACAACAGAAAGAAGCAGAAAGGTCCCACAAACACGAATGTGATAATGATAATGACCAGATCATCTGGTTTTTAATGATAACAAGGTGCAGGGCTGGATGAACACAGCAGGCCAAGCAGCATCATAGGAGCAGATGCTGCTTGGCCTGCTGTGTTCATCC